GTAAGTAGTACGTAGTGTGTGTGTGTGTGTGTGTGTGTGTGTGTGTGTGTCTGTGTGTGTGTGTGTGTGTGTGTGTGTGTGTGTGTGTGTGTGTGTGTGTGTGTGTGTGTGTGTGTGTGTGTGTGTGTGTGTGTGTGTGTGTGTGTGTGTTAATTATTTTTCACTTGTATATAGACTCTTATGGCACTACTTCTATTTTATTGCATTTACTTGCACTATTCTTTGTATTGTGTTGCTCTGTGGGAGGAGCCGGTGCCCTCAGATCTTCGGATGTAGCTCTGAACACATGACAATCAAAGCCTTGAACCTTGTAGGTAACGACCTGGCCCGGGTGCTTCGTTGGGGCTCAGGTTACAGCGGGGAGGACCCCCCTCACATCCTGGTGTCAGTGGACGAGGCTGAGGAGGTTCTGATGGACCGATGGACCATCCTGCTGGACGCTCAGCACTTCTCTGAGGACGCTCACAGCTTCCTGGAGCCCCCCAAGGTCAGTATTCATTATTAAAGTGATATACTTAATACATATAGCCCTATGACTGTGAATATTTATATTGAAAACATTTTTATTTTGAAAGGAAAAATACATTTTAATTTGGTCTGCAATTTTGAAAATGGTTAAAGCTGAAGTTTACTTTATTTTATTCTTGTATTTTTTTTTATATCAAATTGATTTTCTTTTTTTTCTTTTTTTAGAATGAAAGCACACTTTTAAAATATTTGTCTCACTTTACCTTGATGCCCTGTCTCTGTTTCTCTCAGATTGTTCAGATGAACAACTACTTCGGTCTGGGCATCGACGCCGAGCTCAGCCTCGACTTCCACCAGGCCCGCGAGGACGAGCCGGACAAATTCACCAGCAGGTTTCTATCATCAATATAATTTAATATCTAACTTTATCCAGAGCGGGACATGTCTGTTGTAAATAACCCCTGCATGTCCCCCCCCCCGCCCCCAGGTTCCATAATAAAGGTGTGTATGTGAAAGTGGGTCTGCAGAAGATCAGCTGCAGCCGAAGTCTCCATAAAGAACTGAAACTGCAGGTCGACGCTCAGGAGGTCCAGCTGCCCAACATCGAGGGGCTCATCTTCCTCAATATACCCAGGTACCACACACACACACACACACACACACACACACACACACACACACACACACACACACACACACACACACACACACACACACACACACACACACACACACACACACACACACAC